CGTGCGTGGTGTGTGGCGTACGGTGCATGCCTGGCTGCTGCCCTCTCCTCATGTGGTGTGCCCTCTGTGTGTGTCTGCCGCACCTCTCGTCTCCCCTGTTGCTCTCCATTTTCCTCACTGTGCGGATCAGCTCCACACCACTGAACGACCACACTCACAATTATGATGACGTGCCGTCTGCTGTGCGCCCTGTTGGTGCTTGCCCTGTGCTGCTGCCCGTTTTTCTGCACGAAAGCGGTTGTTGCAGAAACAGGTGTCCCCAATGAACCGCTCACACAATCACAGTTGCAAAGTACGGGTGACAGTTCTTCAGGTTTAACTCCTGACACAATCAAGAAACCGGATAGTGCCGGTGCGTCACATAAGCCAGTTTCGGCCGTTGCGGGAGGGGGATCAGGCGGGTTGTCCAACACACAGGATGAAACAAATGCGTCTGGTCTGCCTGGACCAGGTGTTGGTGACGCCGATTCCCCAGGTTCAACGGGTAATTCCGAAGAATTGGTGGTAAAAACAACAAAAAAACATGATCCGGTAGTGCCAGCACCTAATGGAGAGGTTGCGGAAAAGGCACATAACGCGACGAATACGACCCCTACGATAAAGACACCGCCACTACCAATCTCGGCAGTACCACAGCCAAAAGCATCACCAGCAGTGACTGTTCCAGAAACAGGAAAGGGCTCAGCGGCACGAAATCTCTCCCAGTTGTCAAGAGAAAAAAATAAAGAAAACACAGCGTCACAAACCAAAGCGCTGTCCGAAGCACTGAAACGGCATCCAGGGGATGCTGAGGCAGAGCAACAAGAACAAGAGAGCGACACATCAAATCTGGTGGAGATTAACGATGACGGCAAACATGCGGAAACGACATCATCATCCATCTCTATAAATGACAATGACGATGCCCAGGGTACGGGGGCTGAGAATAATGACAATGATCCACGGCCCAACCCCACAGAAACAAACGACCACAAAGTTCATAATACCAACCTTGCTTCTGCACCCACTGAGACCGCACCAGAAACAGTGAATACGGCCACCGCCGAAAGAAATGAAACACTGAAGTCTGAAGGCAGTGACGGCAGCACCGCGGCCTCCCACACCACCTCCCCTCTTTTTCTTCTTCTTGTTGTTGCGTGTGCGGCTGCTGCTGCGGTGGTGGCCGCGTGAGAGTGAGTGTGAGAGAGCCATGCACCGCCCGCACACACACTCTTTCTTCTCTCTCTCTGTGTGTGTGTCCCCTTGCATGGACTCTCGCCCTCACCTCACCCCACGAAGCACACACATAATGTGCCCATTGTATATATGCATGCACACCCATGCAGGCCCGTTGGTGCTCTCTTTTGCACGACACGCACCGCTGCCGTCCTGCCTGGCTGCATGGGCGGAGCACCGTAACTGTTTCTGTTTTGTTTTTATTGCATTGAGTGGGCGACCTCTCTCTCTCCCTCTGTGTGTGTGTTTTGCTTTACGGGAGTAATGAGAGTGTGTGTGCGCTTGTCGTCCCACGCTTCGGCTTTTTTTTTGTTTTTTTTTTTGTTTTGAATCTTTGCTTCTGTTGTGGTTGAGAGCACCCATTTTACTTTCATTGATTGGTTTTCTTCTTAAAGTGCGGATGGCTGAATTTTCCCTTTTGTATTCTCCTGTTCTTTGTTTCTTCCCACGCAATCGGTCCTTGTTGCTTCAGTGAGCCAAGAAATATTTGCTTAACACCCACATCAATGGCTTACTTGCTCTACACCCCACATTAGTTTGAGACGCTGGTGCTGCATGTGATGATGTTTGTGGTGTGATTGCCAGCGGGTGCTTTGCTGTCACTTTGACGTACCCTCGATTTGTTGAATATGTGATGCGTGCCGACAGCGCGAATTGGATCCGCGTCGTTGTGAGGGACGCACCCTTTTTGAGCAGTTGGTGCGCTGCGGTCATAGACCGTCATTGGGAGGGATGGACGCCCATCCGCATCAACGTATCCACAAGGGACCTGGATGCTACCGGGAAGTATTGGATCTCAGAGAGGTACCACGCAATGAATTCATTGAATGACAATTGCGAGTGTGAAGGTGACGTTGTATCCTCTGCGCACGGGACCATCCTCGAGAATGAAGTTGTCCCTGCTGCTTTCAAAACGCATGCGGATCGTCTGCTCGTGCAGCCACTGGAGGGTCCTTTGATTGTGCCCCCATTTGCCACGGGCAGCGTTTGCCTTCGGTTTACGGTGCGTGCTGGGCATTGTTCCACTGGTGTTGCCAATGCTGACATGGTGCTGTGCGTGGCAGAGCGCTGTCGGTGGACTCAGCGAATGCCGCGATGGCTGCGAGTGAGCACCACGACTGCGACGACATTGATGGCATGGAGCTGCAGGATGGCGATGGTGACGGGAGGACGCTGGAGTCGCACTGGTCGCAGCGCCACGCGAAGGATGAGTGGATGGCACCGATTGTTTGTGCCGTCTGCCGCACGGAGCTGACGCTGGCCGCACCGGCTGACCTGGGCTGCATGAGGGTGAGGTGGGAGATGGCGGAGCCGATGCGCTGGTGAAGGAATTCGGACTGTGCGCTGCTGCAGAGGAAGTGCTCCGCACCGAACATGAGTGAATATCCCCAGATGTTCTGCGAAGCGGGCGTTCCTGCCAGACGCTGCACGTTGGATCGGTATTCCAGTGGTTGGTGTGTAGACGAATTATCCATGAAGGGTCAGCAAAACGCCCGATGGACAGTTGCCCCATCATTGGTCCCGCACTGGATGTGAGGGATGCTGCCGCTGTTATTTGGAGGGGAGAATTTTTGTCTGCGATGCCTGGGGATGAGCCCTCTTCGTGGTGTCTGGACACACCTCCCACCAACACGACGGATGCGAGGGACCCGGAAGAAACATACATCTCGGTGCTGTCATGCATGCGGCATTGCGGTGCCTCAGCATGCGGGTGCGTCTGAGAGTGACTGAAGAGGGCAACGCCCGCTGTGCCCCATGCACGGCCGAGGCGACGATTACGTGGGTTGCTCCGCCCTACGACGAGGGAAAAGCTATTTGCCGTGACCACGCGCAGGTGTGCACGATATCCGCCACCAGCGTCAGTTTCCTTCCAGTGGTTCCGTGGGGTGGCGATGAGAGAGGGTGTGTGGAGTAGGACGGTTTCACTGGCATATGCTGAACAAGCTTTGCCACGGGCATCCGTCCCCGATCCAGAGAGCATTGAGACCGGCCGTGGCACACCACCGAAGTATTTGGACACGGCTGCTCCCCAGAAGCATCCGTCGCCAGAGGAGAAGGAGGTTGCCTCCGGTGCCACGACGGCAACGGAGTGCGCTTGCCCAGCGACACGGCGGGTGCGCCGCAGGAGGCGGAGAGGGAGAGCGATCTTCCGGACATCGACGATGTGGCCGCCGATGGTGTGACGTCTGTTGTGGGACAATCATTAGGAGATGAGGCCGCCAGCGACAAGGCCGGTGGCGGTGCCACAGCCACGGGACCCAGGAGCCCTGATGCCGCTGATGCCGCGCACGGTGCCGTGGACCCTCCGCCGAGGGAGGATGATGCGGCGGTGGTGTGCGGGGGTTGGGAGGCAGACATGGAGGACGCCCCGCCTCCGATCCACGGCAGTAACAGTGCGGCTGCTGCTTGTCCCTTTCCGCTGCTTCTTCTGCTTGGCGCTGCCGCCGCGGTGCCAACACTCAGCAGTGGGTGCAAGAGAGAAAGGCCTATATCAACTGGCATGTCCCTATCAGTATATACATACACTCTGCTTGTTTGTATACTTTGTACCAGGGACATGCTGTATGCACTCTCCCTCTTTTTTGTTGGTCGCTAATGTGGCGGCACTACGCGTGTTTTAATGGGTTTGGGAACAACAATTTGTCTGACCTATTCTGAAGAATACTGTGCTGTGTTTGTGTGCGTGTGCGAGGGATCTGTGAGGTTTTGATTTCCCTATTTTTATTTACCTGCTTTGGCATTGTGTAATGATACTTCCCTTCTCCATTATGTGTGTTCTGAAGTGTTGCTAGGGCACCGGGAATGTATGCCTGTGGACGCACGCCGTGCATTATGCGCTACATTGGTGGGAGGGGAGACTGACGTAACTGGCGGGATTCAGTAAGGCGCTTTTTGCCCACGGACCCTGCAGCTGCAGCAGCCTGAGTGGCGCTTTGCATATGGACGTGTGGATTGTTTCTCTCTTGCGAGGCCTTTTCTACTGCGTGTCATTCTCCGCTCGGGTGCCGTGCCCGTGGCAGCAGCGGCGGCATCAAAAGGGCTGTGTGCGTGGAGCATCCTTGATTGAGTGCCTGTCTTACTTCTCTCTGTTCTGTCGATCGATTGTACCGTGTGCCGTCCAAACGGTTGGCATGACGTTCTTCTGACGGCGGGGTCCGCGTGAGACGATGTTGCGTCGAGTGCTTTGTTGCGGGTGTGTGATTTTCGCAACGGTTTTTGGGCGGTTGACTGTTGGGTTGTTGAGGGCGGCGTGGCGACGGGTGTGGATGGACCCGATTGTGTGTCGTGGCTGTTCGTGCGGGGAGCCGCGGGAAGGAGGAAGGCAGCGGAGCGATGGACTCACGAGGAGTGCGGTAGCGTGCAGCCATGAAGATTGGCGACAGGGAACTCACTGCCGCTGTGAGTTGCCGTGTGTGGTGTTTGTTTCTGTTATTATTACTTGCGTTGTTGGGTGTGGCCGCTGTGGGGGAAGACTGTTTTTTGTTTCTTTTTCACGCCGTTTTGGGATCCTTTTCTGCACCGGCATCACTGTGTTCCTGCCGTACTGTTGCGCCCTCTTTCCCGTCCATTTTTGGGGCAGCTGCGGGTGGGTTTTACATGCCGTGGAGCTGTGTGCCGTGCTGTCCGGTGTTTCATTGTTGCCTGTTCTTCCTGCGTGCACGCGTCCCCCATGCTCATGACAACAACCCTCATGCAAACGCTACTCCTCCTTTTCCATGCTGCTGATGTGTGTGTGTTCTCCTCCTCCTCTCTTTGTCCCTCCCTAGACTGTGTGTGCAGCCGTGATGATGACGATGACTGGCCGTGTGCTGCTGGTGTGTGCCCTCTGCGTGCTGTGGTGCGGTGTCTGCGGTGGTGGACGAGCTCAAGCAGCTTCTCCAGATACTAAGTCCAGTGAAGAGAAACCTCAAAACGAGAAAGATACCACAGGTGTCGTTGGTGCAGGAGAAGGCGACCAAAACGATAAAGAGGCAGCGCCACAAGCAGCAGCACCAACGAAGTCAGGATTACCGGCAGTGGCACCGAGCCCGTCACAGGCAACAGAATCCGGAGGAGCATCAGAAACGCCAGGTGCAGCAAAGGACAGCAAGCATCAAAAAGAAGACGAAAAGAAGGAAAAGGAAGAAGAAGAAGACCAAGACGAAGAGAAGGAGGTAGACGAAGAGGAGGAAAAAGAAGTGGAAGAAGAAGAAACTGAAGGGGAGGAAGACGAAGAAGTGGAAGAAGAAGAAGAGGATGATACGAATGAAGGGAAAGCCACAAAGAAAGAAGACGCTGATACCAGCACCACAGAGGGGATCTCAGCAGGCAATGAAGAGCAGCCAAGTTTATCTTCTGCTGCGGAGGGAGCATCGAATATAGCAAATCCCAACAGCACACCAACAACTGGAAACGGTGATCCAGCAGCTGATGTTGCAGGGACACGAGAAGAAAAACAAAATGAAAATAAAGATGCCAATCCGAAGGAAACACCAGTCGAAGCCACAGCCATGAAAACTACAACGGCGACGACTGGCGACAGTGACGGCAGCACCGCGGCCTCCCACACCACCTCCCCTCTTTTGCTTCTTCTTCTTGTTGCGTGTGCGGCTGCTGCTGCGGTGGTGGCCGCGTGAGAGTGAGTGTGAGAGAGAGCCATGCACCGCCCGCACACACACTCGTCCTTCTCTCTCTCTGTGTGTGTGTCCCCTTGCATGGACTCTCGCCCTCACCTCACCCCACGAGGCACACACATAATGTGCCCATTGTATATATGCATGCACACCCATGCAGGCCCGTTGGTGCTCTCTTTTGCACGACACGCACCGCTGCCGTCCTGCCTGGCTGCATGGGCGGAGCACCGTAACTGTTTTTGTTTTGTTTTTATTGCATTGAGTGGGCGACCTCTCTCTCTCTCCCTCTGTGTGTGTGTTTTGCTTTACGGGAGTAATGAGAGTGTGTGTGCGCTGGTCGTCCCACGCTTCGGCTTTTTGTTTTGTTTTCCTTTTTGATTTTGTGGTTGAGTGCACCCATTCCGCGGCTGCGTGTGTGTGTGTGTGATGATATGAGTAATTTGCGTGTGTGCCATCTGCCTCTCTTTGCCGTTGCTTTCTTCAGACTCTCTTGTGTGGCGCACAGCTGCTCTGCAAGTATAGGCGCTGCCAAACACACACACACATACGCTATGGAGCGGCGTGAATGATGATGACTCACGTACACAATTTTTCTGTGGCCCTTGTGAGGAGGGATGAATGAACACCGAAATTTGTTTTGTTTCCGTGCTAAGGGCGTGATTTTCTTGACGTGAAGCAGTTGACTAACGTGGTGTGGCATTAAGGGTGACTGGGAAAAGTGAGCATGGATTCTTGCCCAGCAGCTGCACGTGCCGACGTGTTTCTCTGGCTGTTCATGCACCGACGGATTCTACGGCTGTGTGGGGCGATGTGCGATGGATGTTGCGGGGAGAGACAACAGTAAAACGACTGGCGGCAGTACATGTGGGCGTTGCTCTGTGTCTGCTGACGCGTGGCGGAAGCACCCGTTGTGGCTTTTACTGCTGTTAGCAGTCGCTGTGTTTTCCGGTGCACTGTTTTCCTTCTCATTCCGTGTGTCTGTGTGCGTGAGTTGTTGTTGGGAGTGACTGCGGTGGGGATGATGCTGCCACTCACTGTGGAGGGGCGGCGGTGTTCACTGTTTCACTCCTTTTTCCTTTTCTCTCTCTTTCTCACGCACAAAGAAGGAAGGAAGGAAAACAAGCGCTAATCGCTACTGTGAAATTCGAAGGCACTGAAAGGACCAACAGCACACACACCGCCCACACACACATATTTATATGCTCTCACGTGTTGCTGCAGTCATGGCACCCCGCACACACAACCGTCGCCGCGTGACCGGATCCAGCGGGAGGAGGAGGGAAGGAAAAGAGAGTGAGCGGCAGAGGCGCAACATGTCGCGGCATCTCTTCTACTCTGCGGTGCTGTTTCTCCTTCTCCTTGTCGTGATGATGTGCTGCAACGCTGGTGGTGTTGAAGCTGATGTACTGGCGCCAGGCCCAGAATCTTCACCGAAAAATCATTTTGTTTGGAGAGATAAGAAAGAAGGTGAAAAAGTGAGTTCGCTCTATGCTCCCAGTCTTCTTGAGGTGAATGGTAAAGTGTTTGCCGTTGCCAAGGCGCAGTGCACGGAGAATGACAAGGTTTTTACTGGGATTGCCTCGGGACTCCTAACGTTGGATAAGAGTCAAACAAAGGACTTGGATGCGAGTAAAGTGAAGACACAAGTACTGGAGGAATGTCCATCCGATAAAGAGGAATGCGCCTCCCAACCAGAGGAAAAGGATGTTTCCCAAAGCGAAACGAAAGTACATGTGAACCGACCGGCAACAGTTGTGAAGGAAAATGAAATTTACATGCTTGTTGGGAAATACAGTCCTACAGCTGTTGTTGTTCCTCCGAAGAATGATGCCGAGGACTGCGGACTTTTGCTGGTGAAAGGAAAGGTTGGTGGTGGGAGCAGTGACAGTATTATTTGGGGAGATACCTCTGGCGTCCCGTGCGTTTCTACTGTTGAAAAAGAAAAAATAGGTTCGACACGACTGATTGGCGGCGGTGGATCGGGTGTTAAGATGCATGATGATACGCTTGTGTTCCCCGTGGAAGGCACGAAAAAGGAAGGTGAGGCACAAAAGGCCGTTTCGCTGCTCATATACACCTTGAAGGATACTAATACTTGGAAGTTATCGAAGGAGGTTCCTGACGGTGACTGCAGTGATCCCTCCGTCGTGGAGTGGGGGGAGAAGGACAAAAAACTCATGATGATGACTGCGTGTGATGATGGCCGCCGCAGGGTGTACGAGTCCGGTGACAAGGGGGAGTCGTGGACGGAGGCACTCGGGACACTCTCGCGCGTGTGGGTCAACAAACAGGGCGAAGGAGCGAAGGGCGTTAGGAGCGGGTTCATCACAGCGAAGATTGACGGTGTTGAAGATAACAGAGGTGTGATGCTCGTCACTCTGCCGGTGTATTCCGAGGTGACTGAGAAAGGAGACAATGGAAAGGGAAAGAGTGAACTCCATCTTTGGCTGACGGACAATACGCACATTGTTTATATTGGGCCGGTATCCGATGACGACGCTGCCGCCAGCTCCCTGTTGTACAAAAGTGGTAAAGATGGTGATAATGAGGAGTTGATTGCACTGTACGAGAAGAAGAAGGGTGATGAGGGCAAACCATCACACAGTCTTTGGTCTGTGCTTCTGACTGCGCAGCTGCAGCGTGTGAAGGATGTGCTGGCGACGTGGAAGGAAGTGGACGACCGTGTCTCCAAGCTGTGCCCTTCAAAAAGTGCCGCAGCAAGTGCCTCAACTGACACTGCCTGTAGCCCTACTGTTAAGATCACGGATGGGCTGGTTGGCTTTTTGTCGGGCAACTTCTCTAATGACACATGGAGGGACGAGTACCTCGGGGTGAACGCCACAGTGAAGAAGGAAAATGGGGCGTAACCGGCGGAGAATGGCGTGACATTTAAAGGACGTGGTGCGTGGGTGGAGTGGCCTGTTGACAAGCAGGGGGAGAATCAGCTGTACCACTTTGCGAACTACAACTTCACTCTTGTGGCGACGGTGTCCATCGACGGTGAGCCGACGAGTGGCAGCGTCCCTGTGATGGGTGTGCGTCTGAGTCGTGAAGGAGAAAAAAAAACTTTTGAACTTTCATACGACAAGGAAAAGAAGTGGCAGGTGCTGTGCGATGTCGAAAGCCCTGAGGATCAAAGCCGCACTTTGGCGACGGATACAACACACCACGTCGTGATTTTGCTAAGAAATGGCACCCAGGGCTCCGCGTACGTCGATGGTAAGCGTGTGGGTGGGGATGAACAATGTAAATTGGAAACTACGGGATCGAACGAGATCTCGCACTTCTACATTGGAGGGGATGGAGACGAAAAAGCCGACTCAGAGATCCAAGACGTGTCTGTGACTGTGACGAACGTCCTGCTGTACAACCGCCCGTTGAATGACAGTGAGATTACTGCGCTTAACACAAAACTTTCTATTCCAGAAGCAAGAGAAGCAAAAACAGTGGAGGTTACTCCTCCAGAGGCAAGTAAACAAGCTACGCCGGAGGCTGCAACTCCGTCTGGTCTTGTCGGGCAAAAGCAGACTGAACAGGATCCGTTGAGGAAAAGTGAAAATGCGGGGAGTGGCGTTTTATCCACGTCCGCGGCATCTACAGCTACGAATTCCCCAGCAGCCAAAGAATCCGAAGACCAGTCAGCGTCGGGAACATATCCCGAAGGACATTCAAATGTGGATGTTGATTCTTCGTCCGAGGGAGGCCAAACGGTGGATGCCGAAGCTGGAGACACGGTGCAGGGAGATGGAACACAACAACCGTCAGTGGGCACTTCCGCCACAGCAGATACAAATGCCCCTACCGCTGAAACCATGGCGCACGATGGAACCGCAGTGACAGCTGAGTTGGGTGCGCACTCTGGTGCGAGTGGAGAAACGGTGGGAGGGACGGATGGTCAGAAAGGGGAGGACATCCATGCACAGGACGGCGAAGTAAAGGCTGCGGCACTCAGCAGCAGTCTCGGGAATTTGTCGCAGGGGAATAACAGCGATGCCGGCACTGTGTGTGGGAGCGGACTGCTGCCGCTGCTTCTTCTGTTGGGACTGTGGGTGTTGGCGGCTCTGTGAGGAGTGACTGGCTGCCGCGTGGGACACCTTGCGACCTCCCTCCACCGACACACCTGCCAATGAATTTATTACCTCAAATAACTTTTATTGCTTTTCTCTCTGATTGCTTTGCTGTGCGTTTTTATATCCCCATTCCTCTTTTCTTTCTTTGCTTTTGGGGCAATCGCTATGGACGTTTTTCTTTTTTACTCTTCCCTCTTTAAATTGTTTCTTCCGCACTCTTCCTGCGAGGGGTGCCGTGTGTTTCCGCCCAACTGCTCCACTCGCACACCCACCGACACGCTCATGACGACGGCCCTGTGCGCCTCGCCTGCTGCACGCATGAGGAGGGGCCGCGACGAACGGCGCGCTGAGGGAGCCGTGACGTGTGGGCGTGCGACGAGGGCCTGTGGGGCGGCGCACACATTTCTTCCCTCTTGTTTTGTTTCGTTGCGGCCAGGGCTGGCAGACACCCGCAGCGCCACACACACAGCCACACCCTGCCGCCGTGTTTTTCTTTAAGGATTGTTTTGCTTTGCGTGTTTATTTCATGCGGTGGCGCACCCTTCGGTGTCGGCCTCGTGAGCATTTCTCTCCCCTCTGATGATTTCTTTTTCTTTTGCTGCGCTCACTCTCCCGATGGAGTGACGCGACTGCCGTCATGTCTGCGTGCTTCTCTCAGTCCCCACACACACGAGTGACTGTGCTCTGCGGGCCGCACTCACGCGCCGATGAGAGGGCTGAGGGGAGCAGCAACACGCAGATGACCCCATGAAATATAAACGATGTGCGGACACATGGAGGGTCGGACGGTTGAAGCACACGTAACCATCTTTTTAATTTTCTTTTGCGGGCAAAATAAATACAGACAGTTTGGTGTGACCACACGGCAGCCAGGCGATTTTTTTATTATTATTTTAAAATTTGTGTGGAGCAGTAATGGACGATTTCTTTTCA